CTTGCTGGGAGTGATGGCAAAGGTGAGAGCTTCAGCAACCCCTGACGACGTCCAAATGTCATGAGTTCTTGTTCGCCTGCACATACCTTTAAGTACTGTGAGTATATATACCAAGCTGTCTGCAGAACGTACCAACGAAGTATTCAACCCCGCGCTTCTCTGCATCCAAGCGGCCAGTCACACTGGGCATCACGTACGTGAAGTCCGCACTCAGTCCCTTAGGCTTCCTCGCTTTCCATCCTGCCTTGGATAGCTCGCGCCATAACGGCTTGAACGGTTTCTCGCTGGGAGCGTTCATTCTCGAATAAATCTGAAACCTATGGCTACGCAGAAAATAGCAATAAACTGATTTTTCAAAACCTCCAGTCATCTTATACTGTCTTTTCTATCCAGCTTGAATTATCCCCGGCTATCTTCCCTTCGAAGATCCTTCAAGATCGAACTACCCATCTCTACCCCTTACAAACACAAGTATCCGAGGAATTACGACGACTACAAGTTTGCTGGAAATTATGTCCTGTCATAATTTTTATTCTGTAATATACAGAATAGCGCTGTAAAGGGGTTAAATCTACTTCAACGCTGAAGTTGAGCCGCAAAAACACTGCTACAAGCTCGGTGCCATTGTCTTACCATAAACTTTGCAATTTAACATTTGTTAAAAGGCATGGTTATGAGTGATGACGAACCGACTGTTTTTCTCCTTTTCGTTTTGATTACGTCACTACTTTGACCAGTTGATCACGACACTTCCCTCCACGCATCGTTAACGACGCTGTAGCATTGCGTTGCATGTATTAACTGGTACGTAGTAATGAATTTTGTGGATGGATTGACAACGCCACATATATCGATAGTGACGAAAGTTTCCGTCTCTTTTTATTAATCGCCTACGTAGGTATCGACTTTCCCAGTCCACCCACATGGCGAACAATTTCCATTTCTAAATCGTCCTTGAAGACAACACTAGCATCGTTCGTGCCTCTTCAATGCTCTTACGCGAAAGAATGCGCCATCGCACTTTGTTGACTCTCCTGGTAGTCGCATTAGCTGCTTTCGTCGTTGTCGCTAAAGACACTGTGAAGGGTATTAGTATCAGCGGTGAGGCCAAGTCGGAATCTGAGGTACGAGATGACACCGACTCTCGTCTCTACCTCAAAGCTGCCACTGACTCATTTGGCCCAGCGACAGAAGAGAGAGGGATAAGTATCAAGATGCCCAGCTTCAATGGAATCAAGTCACTGTTCTCCAAGACTTCAAACCTTGGTGCTGGAATGAAATATAGCCCGGAAGTTGCCACGGCACTTAAAACCCCGAAAGTCAATCAAGCATTCAGACATGTGGTAAAGCAACCAGGTATTGTCCAACGCTTCAGGAATAACCTGAAGCTGAACAGCCTTGCGTCGCTCCTACGAAGAAGACCAGCTCAGTTCACGTCAAGGCAGGTCACGAATGTCGGCCACCTCGCGTTTAAGACGAGTTCGTCTCGTACATTCGGCCAAATGTGGAATAAGTATGGTGCTGCATTTCTCTTTGTGGTCGGAATTATATTCTTGTTCACGATGGTGTATAAGGCGAGTCAGCCGTTTGAACCAGGATTGGAAAACGACCTCCTTTTTTTTTACATAAACTGGTTAATCGAACGAAGAGCAACTGAATGTACTTTTCTAAGAGCTATTTTCAATGTCGCAGCTAGTTAAATCATTCCCCGGCTTACCACATTGTTCTCTTTTGCTTTCAAGAACTAGAGCTACGATATATACGATAATTGTGAACTTGTTCCGCTTATCGCAGTGCGCTGTACGCACCACATCGGAGTATGGCAAAACAAAGTAGACGATGCTGCTGCGAAGCAGGCGCAGGAGATGCTTTGTCAAAGCTGCACCACACAATTTAATACAAATAACAGTAAATTTAAACTGTTACAAATAGCTCAAGAAAGTTTCCAGAAGTCACTGTGTAAAAGATTTTGAAACTGCTCCCGCGAAGTCAGCAATTGTGTTGCTGATGGCTGACACAAACGATCCCAGAGTTATTAGTAATACCCACCCCAAGGTACTAAGGTCATTCATTCTTGTTACCTGCTATATTCTTGTTTGCCAGTAGAAGAGCAGCTCATACGCAAGTACAATCCTTATCAGTCTCACAGCCAAAAAATGACCCTGTTCAGCGGCTTCATCCATCGTCCTTTTGCTGAGACAGCAGTGGTGGGTGTTAGCACAGTCGACAGCACGATGGACATTGTACTCCATTCTCCTCCAGCAACGTTAGATGATACAGTATAATATACGTCATAACGCACGCCGTCTGCACTTTCAGAAAACACGCACCTTTTGGCGCTCCAACATCGACAAGAGGGTAATTAATTTGGGATATTGAGAGCATCTAAATTTTCTTTTTCTTTTCTTCGAAGATATTAGCCTTTTTGCATTGTCCGAAATGCCTGTGAATCAACATTAAAGTTTGGATCTTGCCGTTGATTTTGTAATAGTCTCGCAGAAATGGGCTTAAAAAAGAACACTTTAGTGAAGATGGTTCAGGCTGTTTGATCCTCAAGTGTGCGTGTAGCTTACTTAGACCAGCGACTACTTACGATAACATGTCAAGGAGATCTTCCTCTTCTGAGTCCATCGTCTCGTCGACCTGAGGAGGTGGCGTTGGCTTCACTGGATTTGGTCTCGTGGCCTCATTCTTCACGCGCGGTCTCGACTCTTGTGATGCTGCCACTGGCTCCGACTTCACCTGGATCTTATCTCCTCGCTGCGTTGCTTCATCCACCTCCTCTTCGTTCTTGATAATGTCGTCCATACTCGACAGCAGATCTTCCGCCGAGCTAATCTGCACCGAGCTCGGCTTCAGATTCGCTGGCAGGTGACTGTACGCGTTAATAGCATCTCTCTTCGTTCGCTTAGACTCCCCCTCTTCCTCCTCTGTACCCATATCTTCATCACTCTCTTCTTTACTAGACTCATCGCTCTCCTCCTTCCTCTTTAACTTGGCCCCCGTCGCTTTCCTCGCTCTCTTCACCACTGGCTTTTTCTTGGCCGTTGGAGTAATGCCATATCTCTGCGCTGTTTCTACCTCGTCCTGCAGTCTCCTGATCTCGTCCTTCTTGGCATTAAACACGGCGCAGAAGCCCTGGATCAGACAATCCTCCGTGCTCTGCTTGGCTGCCAATGCCGTTTCCAGAAGCTTCTCCTTCTGCTCCAGCAGCGTCTCGAGCTGTGCCACTCTGCTACGTTTATTGTCAATTAATTCCCTTTCTTTTTGCTGCTGTGTTGCCACTTGATGCAGTAACATACGCCATTTGTCACCACTTTCCGTGGCTCGGAACTCGATGGCGCAGAATTTCATGGCGAACTCGGAGCGCTCCATTAGCGTCAGTGTGCGCTTCTGTCTCGACCATCGGAGCTCGAAGCGAGGCTTTGTGTCTGCCATTGAGCTTAGCGCTGTCTCCACCGCCGCCACATACTCGACACCGGAGCAGTCGAGCGCGCGTGGCTTGTGACGGGAAGAGACTTCGGCCTCGTATAAAGTTGGAGGGTCCAGCAGCTGCAAGCGGATAGCAGCCGTTGAAGCGGAAGCTGCAGCGAGACGAGTACAGTGCACGAAGAGTGAAAGTGGCGACGAGGACGAGACGTCCGCGTCCACGACTGCAACTTCTGCTAATGACATTGTGCAGCCACTTTAGGACACGATTTGATGAATAAATGCGCAAGTCAACAATTAAAAATGTAATTGGCTAATTCTTTTTTTTTTAACAGCTGAAAGGTAATTAAAAATCGTTTCTATACTTTATAAAGCCTAAATACATATTAATAGATCATACCATATAGAAATATTTGTGCCACCGTACGGAAAACCTTTTTAAAAGCCCCCCCTAAATGCCCAGTCTTTTCGGACTTACCATTGGATAAAATCACTTTCAGCCAGTTAGTGACGATGCCTATTCTGTGCAGCTCCTGCACTACAGTAAATGCTCTTACTTCCGGTATCGTGGTCGACCATACCCTAATATTTGATTTATTTTATAAGGGTAACACTACAAATTCAGCTGAGAAGCAAGGATAATAACATTCTCCACATCTACATCTGATAATCCATATCTTTGCTTTTTTCATCTACGGCTTTAAAGATAATGCCCGTGTGACGAAAGCAGTTATCAATGGTACGCTTACCTTGCAATTCATTCCAGATTTCATTGCTTCATTGCATTGCCTGCAACTGGTCCACGGTGTACGCCGTACTATCAACCTCAATGCCGTCCTTAATCTTGTCGTATACCCACCGGAGTTGCTTCCTTCTGTACGCCATTTTAAAGGATGCGATGATGCCAGCGTCCATAGGTTGTAAAAACGCAGTAGTGTTGGGGAAGAAGGAACTCCACTCGTATATTGGAGCACACAAATCCCTCAAATTGTGCGAAGAGGCATTGTCGAGAAGCAGGAGGATATGACGCCCACACCCTCGCATATCCCTGGCTAAATTGAGTAGCCACTCCCTGAAGATGACGCCTGTCATCCACGCCCTCTTATTAGAACGGTAGCCAAAGCCGAGTTCCTCCGCCGTGCGTTTCTTAAAACAGTGAGGGTTCTTTGCGTGCCCCAGATAGAGCACCGGCAGCTTGTCAGTCCCGTCCGCGCTTACAGTTAGATCGATGGTAAATATTGTCTTCTTTTTCTTGGCGCCGCTGGCTCCTTTAGTACAAATTGAGCGGGCCGGAGCCATGGCGTAGCAAAGCCCCGTCTCATCCATGCTGTAGATATCCTTAGGTTCGTACAGGTCCGTTATCTCTTGAAGTTGCTGGCGGCCTAGGGCAGCCGCTACAGGATCTGCAAATCGAGCTTCACCAGGCAGCTTTCGACTCTTCAGTCGGTGCCTTCGTTCAAAAGCGGTTTGCCACCAATCCGAAAAGGTCAGGTCCCACGCATCACACAAGTCTTTCTAAATATCACGAGCTTTCATCTCAATTAATTCGCGAGAAAGACACACACCCATAGCTTTAACCTTCAAAATCCAGTCCAGCAACAATTTCTCCAGCGCAGGCGACGTCACTTGTCGTGGCTTACGCCTCTTTACATCGCCGTAGCCTTCGCTCATGATCTTGGTTGCGTTTTTTAGTCAATTCGTATTTTATATGGAGTAGTTTCTTCAGGATGTCGGACACTGTAGTTTGTGGTGGTACTCGCTTTAGCTTGTACTCTGCCTTTGCCCACGTACCCAGCCCTTCTTGCGTCAATCTGGGGAAGTCAGCTGCCTTCTGGATAAGCCCACGCTTCTGCTGTATCTTCATCCATCTCCCCATGACTAGATGTGCTGCTCGTTGTCGGTTCTGCTGTGTGAAGTGCGAGCTTTGCGTGGAGCGAGCAGATTAAATGACTGGCGCCGAGATGCCCCTATCAGAGGCCCAATCAATTTTCCCTCTTCAAATCAATTGCATCGAAAATATCAGGGATTTAATTTATACCAGTACCGGAATAGAAAGCATATACTGTATTAAAGAGCGCTGCAGGTGCTTTAACTCCATGTTGGATGATCCAACATAAGAGGTGTATACCCTAATCAAGATTTCTCGCAGCATCTATGCTATGTTGGGTCATCCACCATAGGCGTATATTACACTGTAAGTTTGTATGGTGATAAATCATAGAAGATACCTTATTCAAACTAATATATTTTGCAAGTGAAAAGGGTGAATGCACAGGTTTAGGCTAAGGATTCCCCTTCCCTATTTGAAGGGTACAGGAAACAATCTACCCACCCACATACAAACGGGTGGCCAACAGCCGTAAACACCCTCATTTACAAAAACGCGCCAGCGACGAAATTGGTAGGCCCGGTTGGAAAGTTGCCACGACACAAGCTATAGGTAGAGCAGCACCGCTTGTGGGTTGAGGCACAGCGTCGAGAGCGCCGCTTTCGACGGACGGAGCAGAGGGAGAGCGAGTCCAAGACAGGCCCGCCACCTGTGGTCACGGCGCCAGCTACGAGCATCGGTGATGTGGCGCCGCCAAAGGAGACAAGAGCAAAGAATGAGAAGGCAGCAGGTGTTTTCTCTTGCAGCACCTCCCGTAAGCCACGCCAGCGCAGCGGTCGCAGCGGTCGTTGACGAGCTGGTAGTATCTGCTGGAAATGTCGCAGTTTCGCCACCTTCTCGACCACCAGCAAGCGGCGGCCATCAACCCAGCTAGGAGAAGGAAAAAGTCTAACTAGGAGTCTTCACGCAAGCGACGCCGCGTCGTGTTGCAAGACGATAGCGACAGTGACAGCGATGATAAAGTAAGCTATTTGGATTGTCTCTAGCCTAACAAACCCGCCCGTGAAGAGCATACCACATACCATCTAACATAAATTGTTTGTTGCCTGAGCAGCGAGATTTTAGCAAGCGGAGAAGAAGGCCAAGACGCCCCAGAGGAAGCTACGATTGCGATACCCTCTTGTCTTATTGACGCGGACCCACACCTAATTGTGGAGCGCGCGAGCCTGTGCACAGGCCTCAATTCGGATAAAGATCCGAGCATGTGTGAAGAACCAGAAGAAGAGGAGGGGAAAATGAATGGGATATCGGTGCTCTTACCGATGAGGAATCGGACGAAGAGGTGGAGGAGCTTCCTGACCTGGGCTGGTGTTCATTTACGAAGGTCTCTCGGCGGGTTTCCTCCAGGTGACGTAGTGGTTGGGAATACGGTAAGATTTGTTG